AGTATATAGGCAAAAGAAATAAGAGTCTTACAGTCTGGAGTTGGAAGTGCCATTCTCTTTTTCATCGGAAAGCCAAGTCAGCCCTGAGGGCCACAAAGGCTCTACATTCATAGCCAAAGCAGGAGACAGAGCGGGGGCGAGGACAGAAAGAGCACCAAGTGGTACAGAAATCTTTGAGTCCAGTCTCTGAAACCAGTTCTGACTTTGACCCTGCTGATATGCCTGAAATGACTTAGAGGTACGTGTGGAGGAAGCCTGCCCAGCTGTCTACCCAGAACACTCTAGAAAATCTCTATGATCTAATGTTTGCCCCTACATCCAACACAGACACAATCTACAGACTCATCCTTCTGAGACCTCTACAAAGTCAAGAAAGCACACTCATTAATGAAAAAGTTTATCTAGGCAAGGCATCACCAATTCTTTTGGTTTCTTTACCCTTTTAAAAATTGTTAAAAACTCAAAAACACTTTTTCTATGAAGCTGGTTTATATCTTTTGTCATTTACTGGATTAGAAATCAAAACTAAGAAAAAAATTTACTTTTTAATTCATTTAAATTAATAAACTAATTACATGTTAATATGATTTACATTTTGAAGAAAAATGTTTTTTAAAACACTTTAATTGGAAGAAAGGCATAGTTTTACTGTTTTGCAAATTTCTTTGACTTCTATCTTAACAAAAGATAATCAGATTCTCATACACGCTGTTTCACTCTGTTGTGATATGTTATTTCGGTTGAAATCCAATCTTATTCAGACACATAGTTGTAAAAGGCAAACTGTTTTGATGGTCATTTTAGGTAATTACAAATATCCTTTGATACTACATCCAAACTTCCCAAGTACAGTTTCTGAGCAATTGGCTGCAGCAAGGAATCTGAAATTATATCAATTAATTTTTATAGTTAGTTACTTCAAAATTCACTGGTCTGTCCAGCATTCTGAAATGAGCTTGTTTTTAATCACATGAATAGTTTTTGATGCAGTGTCATAATCTTTATTTTTAAGAGGAAACTAAATAAAAATCCTTCCTTAGTGGCAAAAACTAAAAGTCAGTACGATAAAAGTAGATATGGCTTAAAAGGGCAAGGTGATACAAGAGCAACAGGGAATGGTGGAACAAATCTGCAGACAAGGATGAAGAATATCTGAAGTACTGTACAAAAAAAGGAAAGAAAATCAAGACTTTAGTTTTTAAAATCAGCACTTATAGATCCATGTCCGAGTGTTCAGTAACAGGATCATACTCAATTGCATTCTCAGAACAGCCAGTGAAGTAGGATTTTTTTTTTTTTTTTGTATCAAAAAGGAGAGGTGACGTACTTGAGAACATAGAACTAGGGTACATGGGACAGAAACCAGATACTTCTGACCTGGCAACTTGTGGTTTTCTTATCCCTTAAAATGACTTTTAATTCCAAAAATAAAACATCATCTTTTTAATCTAACAAATGATGAGTGAGTAGCAGTCAATACAGATACTTTATTTTTAGCAAGCAAAAGCCCCAGCTCCTAAGCTCTTCATGGTCTTCCTAACCACAAGCAGCGAAGATCCCAGAGCTGATCCCAAACTATCTTGGTGGTAGAACCGAAAAGGAGAAGGATGAGATGAGCCTATTCAGTTGACCGCCAATTACTAATTATGTTTACATGATTTTGCAGATTCCTTGCTCTTTCTAGATCTTAGAGTCATGAGCTCAAAGAATTTCTGTGGATCAATTTTCACATATGTGAGAGAAAGAGGAAAAACTCCACAAAAATGAAGCAGAATAGTGATAGAGATATGGTGAGAGGTTTGTGAAAATATACAGCTACCTTGGCTGTTTGAGATGCAAAGTTCCCACCAATAAGAGATGCAGGCAAGTGCTCAGGCACCAAAGGAGCCAATGGCATGCCTTGCAGAGACTTTTTCTACAAATTAGATACTTGACAACGAGGAGTAGATTATGAATTTACTTAGTTTGGCCCTTCCAATGATGAGTAAAGTAACTTTCTGAATTATTGTAATTTTCCAAATCTTCCAGAAGTATCAACCGAAATTATCTACTTATTACCTACTAGAATAGAATGTGTTTCTCTTGGTTGTTTCCTTTTTATGGACAGGGATGTTTATTATCTTTTCATTTTTGAAGCATTTATTAATAAAAGAATAAGACAGAGCCTGTAAAAATGCCTTTGAGATTGCAGACATCGTTTTTACTGTGTGTCGAAGGAGAAGCAGACTGAGGTGAGACTGGAGTTGAAGCCTGCCCAGTGCAGAAGAACATGCACATGATGGATTCAGCATCCACAACCAAGAGAAACGCCTGAGTGTTTCAAAATTACAGAGCTGCAAACATTTCTTTTTAAAATATTCATCTTAGGAAGTATCTGTGGAAGGGGATTTTTTGTTCTCTGAGATTGAGTCAGAATCACTAATAATGAAGCTTTGCTCCCTCAGAAAGCCCCCGAATAGCATTTTTCAGTTTACTCATTTTGTTTGTAATTCAGCCCTTTTTACATTCTTAGACTTTCTTTGCCCTATGTCCCTCCTCTCTGGGCAGCATCGGAATGATGAAACCCTCAGCATATACTTACTTCTCTTTTCCTCTCAACCCCTGCCCCATTTCTGTCCAGTTCTCAGCCTCAGGTCACATTTCTCCACCTCAGATTCCTAAGGGAAAAGGGCCAATTGAGGAAGGCTTTTGGACGGTTTGGGAGGCTCCCAGAGCACACTGCAGTCAGGACAGAGGCAGCAAAGGCTGTTTTAGATGCTTGAGTCTCTTCCAGCCACGGCCTTTGCCCAAAAGCTTCAGTATTTTACTTTCATTCTTCAGACTTACTAGAAATTGGCCATTTTCTCTTTTTAAAAAAGTAATGTAACTGCCTACTGTTCATTTTTTTTCTGTAAATCTGTATAACTTGTACCCTTTCCCTGCTTTTTTTTCTTTTCTCCTTAAATAAAATTAAAAAAAAAAAAGTAATGTAAGTCTTAGCTCTAGACTTTTAATGGGGAAATCATGGATCAGAGAAATTTTGAGAAGACATTTTTCTTTTTTTGGTTGGGGAAGAAAACTTATAGGTTTATACAGTGGCCCTAAAAAATAAGCTCGCAGGGTATAATAGCACCACTTTGTACCTACGGGACTCAGTGACTTGCACCTGAAAGGGAGGTAGAAGAAGAATATCTGTGTCTTTGCTCCTGAAATGCCTGAGGGAATACAATTATAAAAACAGTAGTTTAAATCTTGTTCTTTTACTTATGAAAAATTTCCCCAATATTTTCTCATTTATCCCAATACTTGTTCTAATTTCTATTCACTATAAACATACTTCTCCTTTCTGGGTTTTCCTTCTCTGTTTTTTGTTTGTCTGCTCTTTGGGACACTTCTTTTACAGTGTGGTCCCGTTGCCTTGAAACTGGACCCAGTCTTTTCTGCCTGTTTTGGAATTGAGACCTCACTGTGTTGCTCAGGCTGGGCTCATTCTTTCTCAGTCTGCAACTTCAGCCTCCCAAGTAGGTAAGATTAAGGCATGTGCCACTGTGCTCAGCTTTGGACCCAGTCTTAAAACTGCACTCCTGAACCTGTCCCCCTTTGCCTCCCTGTTTCCTCTGGATGCCTCTGGATACATTTTTGTGGCCAGCATTGAGTGCACTGCTCCAAGGCTGACTGTGCTCCGGCAATGGTGGTGTGCTGCGCAGGACTGTTGGTGTCACTGAAAACTAACAGGTTCATCATCACTGCACTGTGCCGTTCATTCCTGATGCAGTCTTTCAGGTAGGCACTGTTATTGGGCCACTGAGAACTGAGGCTGAGAGAGGTTAACTAACTTGGGCTGAGGGGCACAGAGCTTCAGTTGCAAGTTGGTTCTTTAGCCATTCTTGCTTTCTTTAGTTAACATACTGAGCTGCCTCCTATCCTTCCTCAGCAGACCTAATTTGTTGTAAGATTTGGAAATGAGCTTGGTTAAGGTCTGGTCTTTAGCAGACATACCACCCTCAGCACTCAAAACTGAAGTGTCTGTGACCATGCAAAATGTTCCTACCACTAGTTACAGTATTTATGGTTCCCTTTTGCCGGAAAGTCCCTGATGCCACGGAGTCCAGTGTAATTCCCACTGCCAGCTGGGTATCTGACAGCTAAAGATTGGACCCCAAGGGCCAGATCCTCCTTGGGCTCTAAATAAAGGCTCAGTAAATGCATGTCTGAAGCATTCAAACAGGAAGTTATGGTCCCTACTGCTCTCTCACCTCCTGAGGAAAATCCAGCTGAGTTTTCTCTGGTCAAGAACACTGCTCTTTGGCTTTATAAATTAGTGGGCAGAACCCCAAATGGGGCCATGGTTTAAGTAGCTTTAATCCTTCACTTTTTTGTAAATGTTGTACAAAAGTGTTGCTTTTAAAAGATCAACCTTTTAAAAATTAGTATGGATTTTTCCAAGTTACTGCAGAAAAAGTGAAAAAAAAAGCATAGAAAATTAGGTACTGTATATTAGGAACCCCAAATAGTTTATTGAACAAACAAATAAAACCCACACAGATTTCTGCTGAAATACAAGTTGTTTTCTTGCATTTTTTTCTGCCTGTTAGACGTAGGTTCTGTGGAGTCTGGAGAGTTGAATGAAGGAATTCTTAAACTACTTTTAACTATAAACACTGGGGTGTGCCTTAGCCTGGGAAAAGCATTCAGAGTGTGTGTGTGTGTGTGTGTGTGTGTGTGTGTGTGTGTGTGCGTGCGCGCACGCATGTGTAAGAGATGTGCACCTGTATCAGCTTTAGGACTGCATGCCTCTTAGGAGCTTTATTAGAACTCAAGTTTTCACTGACCCAGAATTCCTGTCTGGAGGAGAATCGGAAATACAGACATCAATACAGACATTTGGAAATGTGAATATGACTGTCCCAGAAACAATGGGCCAACGCCCTGCCCAAGGCTGAAACCAGCACCTTGAAAATTAAGTTTCAACCCAAACACTCTCAGTAAAGGGAAACAAAGACCACATCCTGAGGCCCCAATGGACATACAGTCTTCACCACGAGTTTTATTGTTCATAAAAAAAATAAATTTATTTACATATGTTAATTCCTATGGAAGTGCAGCCTCAGCGGCAGTGTGGCTCCTAAGTGTGCGAGGTCACCGGACAGCCAATAGCTCCAGCCGCCTGTAGTGCGCCTGCCTGCCGCGCAGGGAAAAATTGGAGCGCCAGAAAGAAAGTGGGTGCAGAAGGCTGTGCTGGGGAAGGAGTGACTAGAGCTTGGAGGGAGAAAGCTTGTTGAGGAAAATCTGGAATGTGGAAAGAGGGAACTGCATGCAGTTAGCAGCCTGAGCTGGACGGGAGAGAGGCCCCTGAGAGAGGAGCTGCCTCTGTCTCAGCGAGTGGAGGGTGGAGGGAGCCTAGGAGAGAAACCGGTGGGCCGGCCTCGATGAGAGGGAGGAGGGAGCTTGGACAGGAGACGCCAGCGTTAGGAGAGTGGCTGGCCGGTCAGACTGCAGCCTTAGAGCAGAAAGGCTCACAGGCCTGGCAGACCAGCCTGGGCTGAGTCTGAATTACACTTTATCTGCCCCGCCTGGGCGGTCAGCTTGCAGAGAGCTGCCTGGGGGATGGACAACTGGCCAGATATGCCACTGGTCTTTCTTGATAAACATCCCCAAGTGTACCTCACATCAAGATGCTGTCTTTTAGGAAGCTCCATAATGAACTCTTATTTTCTAAAGCCTTGAGGCCCCGGGCTGTGCGGAAATCTGCCAGGATGCACAGGATAAATCTGACCCGGTGGAAAGTAACCCTAACCCTTGGGCCTAAGTCCTGTGGCTCTGGGCTCAGATGGTAGTCTGGGGTACAGCTTTAAGACTCGGGGCCAACCTGGGTTCACGCTGCTCTCCACACAAAAGGAGACTCTTTCCAGCGTTGTGGCCTGGACCAGGGCACTTCCACTGTCCAGTTCTCAGGTCCAGGGAAGAGGGAAGACCTTCAACCCATCCTCTGGTGTTCATGTTCTCCGTGGTTCTCAAACACTTTGAGTTAACAATCCCATCAAGTGAGTTGGAGTCCTGTCTACGCGGTGGTTCCACATAATCTGCTCGCTGCAGAAACGTCTTTGGTGTCAGAGTCGGGTCTTCCAGAGACCACGAATGGCCACGTCTGTAAAATTGAAAAGAGCGTCAGATATTGTCGAGAAACCTGCTTCTCAAACAGAAACCACTTTCTTAGGTGAGCTCCAGAAATCCTTTGCTCAGTTTTTTATCGCGCATTCTGGAAATTTATGTATTTTGTCTCTAATTTGAGTTTGTGACCTTAGCATATATTGATTATGACAGACATTCGATGTCGGTTAAAGAAAATTCGTTGAAACTCTTGAGTTTGAGATTTCGTCGTTTGTTTAATTGGTTTCTCTCTCGGTTTCTCTCTCTGTCACACACGCACACACACACACACACACACACACACACACACACAGACTAGAGAGAGAGAGAGAGAGAGAGAGAGAGAGAGAGAGAGAGAGAAGAGAGAGAGAGATTCCAAGTAGGAAATTCTATAGGTTGGGAGGTTGGGGTGCGATCTGTCTCTCCCAATCCTGGAGAGTTGGCAGATCACACAGGGACTTTCCAGACAATCTGGTCTGTGGAAACTGTGTTACTCACACCCATTTTTTAAAAATCCAAAAGCTCTTTTACAGAGCTTAGTTTTCTCTTTTAAAGAAACTAGGGGTTGCTGGTTCAAACCTGCCAGGCTCTTTGTTGGAAAATGCTGGGCGAGTCGGATTTGTTGTTTAATTTGCAGCAGGGTAATAAACTCAGTTGGAACTAAGATTTATGCCGGAAGCAGAATGTTAGCTAATAGCTGTCACTGGGTAAATCACCATGCATATGATCAGAATCATGCGAACACAGAAGACTGGATGTCCTTTCCAGGAAAAGGGTCAGTCCCTCTTCCCTTGATTTGGGAGAAACTAAACTGGAATTCCCATCACTGGTCCCACAGACTTCCCTTTCAGATTGTTTCTAGCGCGGTGCCCCTGCCCGGCGCCTGGGAGCGCTCTGGGCACCTCCTGGCCCCTTGCCCTGTGGTCGAGCGAGCGAGGTTTGCCTACCAGGTTCACTGGGTGCACGTAGCCGTTTTCGTAGCGGTCCTCCTGCAGCAGCTGCCGCAGGTGCGCGATGTAACTGGAAGCCAGCCGCAGCGTGTCCAGTTTAGACAGCTTGGTGTCGGGGGGTACCCAGGGCAGGCTGGTCTTCAGCCTGGAGAAGGCTTTGCTCAGCACACGCATCCGGGCGCGCTCGCGGGCGTTAGCCGCGTTCCGCTGTGACTGCTTGCACTCGGCTGCCGAGCCTTTGGGCGGGAGAGGCTTCTTACTGCAGCCACCGGCCCCGCCACCTGGGCAGCCGCCCCCCGCCACACGAGGCCGCTTCTTCTTGCAGCCTCCAACTTCGCGGGTCGCGCCCAGGGCGCACCGCTCCTCCTCGCCGTCGGGGTCCTCCTCCTCTGCCGACGAGTTGTCACTGGGCGAGGCGTAGCTGCGCTCTGCGCCGCGGAGGGGCTGCTTCTTGGAGGAGGCGGGGACCGGGTACCCTCGCTGCAGCCCCCGCAGCTCCATCTCCTCGGGGTCACTCACCGAGCCCGTGGACATCTCCTCGTCCCCCGCGCCCACGCGCGTCCGCCTTCCTCCGCCCTGGCCAGTCTCCCACGGTCTCCGCCTTCCCCTCCCCGGCGGAGGCGGGGGCGGGGGCCAGGGACAGCTCCCAGAGAACTGCAGACTGGGGCCGGGAAGCGCCGGCGGAGGCGGCGGCCGGAGAGCGCGGTGGGCGGTGAGCGCGCGCACCCCGGCGCTGACCCCGGGGAGGGAGCCCAGCCACTGGCGCCAGGATCCAGGCTCCGCACGCACGGCCGCGAGCTCTGCCTTTTGACACGACTATTTATCTGTCCTCCGCGGAGCAAACCACACCGGGCAAGGAAGAGGGGGTTGAAAAGGGGGACAAGAGGTGGGGCAGGGGCGTGGAAGGGGTGGGAATCGCTTTTCTGCTCCCGAGGACTGACTGGTGGGGGCGGGGGTCAGGGATGTCTCTCCCGAGCTGAGATCTGGGCCCCGATGCCCGTCTGAAACCAGAATGTCTGTGCAAGATAAGTGCTGTGGCGAAATGGAAAGGAAGACCCTGTTTCTACTCACCCCACCTCCAGCTGGTCTTAGCAGGGGACCGAACATTGCTGGACACTCGGAGGAGCAGAATCAGTATCCCGACTGTTGCTTCTCTCCCAGTCTTATAAGAGAACTCAGTTTTTCAAGTTCCTCACGCAGGGTGTATAACTGCTCATCTAAAGCTTGTGCTCCAGCGAGAAAATACAAAACAAGCAAAAAATTCCAACATACACCAGGCACATCTCACTTGCTTTTTCTTTTTTCTTTCAATATAGCTTTCTGATTTAAACGGCGCTTACACCCCCCCCCTTTTTTTTTTGCATTATCCTCTAACAACAGCTATAATCTACTTGTTATTTTCAGACTCACTAGCAACTAAAACAAACAAACAAGGACTCAAAAAGCTGAGCTTCGAATCACCGGCTCGTTGGTGTTTCAGGAGCTCTACGGCTCCTGCCACAGCCACAGCGCTGGATGTTGAATTTATTGTTTACCATTGTCTTGAGAGTTTCCTGTGTGATTTGGTTTTAAAACTACAAACGTGGAGTTGAGAGAGGGTTAACTTGTGGTGCTGGGAGTCCCTCACTATCTTAGAGGCTGTATTAAAGAGCAAGCTGCCAGGTGCTGAGGGTGAGGTCTACGCAATTGTGCTGCTAAAGGGCAAAGCCACAGCATCATTCCAACCAACAGGATTTGGGGTTTCAGCGTTTCCTAACTGACAGGCTGTAGCCATACCTGATCAGTGGACGAGCTTTTCCTCTGTGGAAATGGATAGCAATGGCCAGCAATGGCCTGAGGATCTGGCGGCTGGTGAGCGGTTACTGAGGAACTAAACCCAGAGTTGGTGTAGGTGGTTATCCTGGTTTACAATAAAAAGCTTGAGTTTTTGCAGCTGGTTTTGTTGATCTGCTTTTCCCCTAGGAGTCCACAGGCTCCCCAGATGAAAGTGCAAGTGAATGAGTGGGCGCACTCTGTCCAGGACAGAGGAGACATAAGCGCCCTGATGCTGCCAGGCCAGACCTGCTCTGCTATTCTCACTGCAGACCAGTGCTCCTGGAGTGCTGCCCAGGGTGGACCTCATCACTTAGGCTCAGTCTAACCTTCTCACCAGGCCGAGTGGCCCTCTTGGGCTATGTTTCACAGGATTCCTCTCCTGGTCTCTTTCAAAAGTTTCTTTTTTCTATCTTTGTCTTTGGTTGGAGATGGGCTCATTCTGGGACAAGTTAAGGAAAAGGATCATTGCTTATCTGGGTTCTCTCTGACCTGAGCAGAGGCAGGAGTATTTAGTTGACAGGGCATAGAACTCTTTCCTGGAGTCCTTGAACTTGAACTTGCTTCCAGGTGAGGGAGGGAGAGAGCTGAGTGGGGAGCAGAAAGATGTCACCCTGAGAGCCTAAGAGCACAGGGTAGGTCTTTGCTCCCCTATGGATGACTTGAGGCTATCAGTACAAATACAGAGTCTCACACATTAGGGGCAAGCCTATAGGTTTTTAAAATCCGATTGTTTATACAGGTGCAGAACAAAGTCTTTCTTTAGGAAAGATTAATGGTGGGTAGAGCACTACATTTCTCTAAACAGCCGCCAAAACTGTACCCAGACTCAGTGCTGAGGGGGTCATGGCCAGTTTCTTTTCTTGAAGAGACAGCCTGACCCTAACAATTTGAGCTTATTATTTCCTAGCACTTGCCTTCTTTCTCTTTCTCTTTTTCCTTCCCTCTCTTTCCTCTCTTTTTTCACCTCCTCCCTCCCTTGACTTACATAAGAAAGTCAATTATTTTTGTTTCTGCATTTATTTTTCTTTCATTTTCATTTTCCCCTCAGGGTTTTTCTAGTTGTATTTTCTTTCATTTACCCTTTTGTTAAGTTACAGATCGGTAATAAGATTTAGAAATATACTATTTCGCAATAGTATGTAACTGCAGTTTATATGTTTGTAATATTTGATTTTTAAAAACTCTTTTATGAGTCTTATTCTCGCTTCTCCCTGACTGATTACAGTGCTCAGAGAGATGAACCGTGTAAATGTAACTACTTTTTTTAGAAGCTGACTTTCTCTTTCATTGATGTTAGCACACACTATCACTGAATAATAAAGCTTTGATTTTTCTATTAAAAAACAGTACAGAGTCGACCAGGGTGGAACATGCTTGCAAACCCAGATACTTGGGAGGCTGAAGCAGGAGGATCACAAATTTCAGGCATCTTAGTGAGGCTCTGTTTAAAATAAAAAATAGTGGATGCATCTTGAGACCATAATGTTAAGTGAAATAAATCAGACATACACGTTTAATTTTCCCATAGTTTTTCTTATATAAGAAACTAAAATTATAAATACAGAACAAAATAAAAGATACATAATAATAAATAGGGAGACAGATCTTTTTCAAGTGAAAGGGGGATCAAGAAATGAAGAGAAATAGGAGAGGGATAGGGGATTAAAAAAAAGGAATTAAGATGTATTATGTACAAGTATGAACTTCACATAAGGAATGTAAACATTATGTGCTGCCAGTATGTACTAATAAAATTAAAATAAAATAAAGAACATTGGCACCAATTTTTATTTGGCTATGCTTTTAAAAACTTTTATATTCATGGCAGGTATATATTGCTGTTTATCATTTACATAGCCATTCTCTAAGATATGCAGTAGTGGATAAGTGGGGTTGAAACTACATTGTTAAACAGTTGTGGTGGAGTAAAAACTGGTGGTCCATTTAAACACCAGCTGAACTCAATCAGCATGGTGCTAAGTACAGAGTCCCAGTTGAGGACTGTTGTCAGCATGAAAAGGAGACAGGCAGAGAAAAAAGGAGCACTGTGGATTCTCCTAAGTGTTGTTGACTGTTTGGCTCTGTTGGTTATTTTGCAGTTGTTCTCCTGAAAGAGCTTGTCATGCTGGCTTCCCTGACATGAACTCCATTGTTCTCATTGTTGGAGGAGCTCTTTTCTGGGGAGCCCTGGTTCTTATTTTGAGTGTTGCTTCTTGGCTCCAGTGAAGAACTCTTTACCTACTGGCATAGACCCTTCCTGCTGCTGATGCAGACTTTCTAGCTTCTACCACTGACCTTTGGGCCTTCCCAAGGCAGATCCATAAAATAGACTTGCATGAGTCATTGTTGTGGGCTCTAGGCCTCCTGGGAGGCTTTGTCCTGGGTTCTAGGTTTTCAGATAAATTCATACAGAATATTGTTGTGGGATTCAGGCCCTCAGTTGGATTCTCTAGGTCCTTAGTGTGTAGGCAGATTTCCTGCATTTCTTGTATTTGATTCTGGGCAACTAGCATAAATTACTACTATAAATTATATGTCCTGTATTTAATCATTTTTCTTGCAACCCCTGACTACAATAACAATTGTTATTACATTTAATAACATTTCCTAATCCTAGCTTTCCTGCTCACTAGCTACATGACTTTTGGCAGTGTAGAGCCTTGGTTTCCTAATATATAAAATGAATTATCTTTTTGTGAGAATAAATAATATATGAGCAATTTTTTATATCAGAGCATGGTATATGGGAGCAAATAAGCAAATGCTAGTTTTTACTATTAATTGCCTTGCCCTATTACTCAGCTAGTGTCAGAGCCTGGAGTTGTTCAGGCTTTAGACCTCAGGGCTTATTCTGATTTTCAGATGGCAGCAGAATGTCTCATTTGCTTTGACTGCAGGCCTCTAGGGTCTGATGTACACAGTATCCAAAAACATTTTCCACAGCTTTCACAAGAGTCCTCACTGAGGGAAAAATGGATGGCCTTCATCAGAACTTTTTTGCCCCTTAAGTTTTCTCATAAATTTCAAGCACTTCTCCACACCTTACTTTAGTGACTGGAAAAATAAAAGAAATACAATGCTTAAATCAGAGCTGTTGAAGTTTTAAATGAGATCTTGATGTATGTGGAAATAAGCATGCTGATGTATAATCTGCCTAATAATATAAAAATACTTTAAAATGTAGACTTTTAGAAAAGGTACACTATAGCCAGATGACAATTACAGACCATAGAAAGAGGGCCTCACCCCCCCCCACCTGTCATACTGATTGAGGAAGCCTAGAGTGCTGGTGAGATGGGCTGAGGGGTTAAGGAGAGAGGCTGCCCCACGTCTCTGCAAGGAGTAGGTGTTTGCAAAAACAGCTGTGGCCATGCATGTGAATGGGTAGAGAGCTCTTCAGGTGGCATTGATATCCCTCCCAAAAGCCTTCTGATATACTTTCCCATCCCCCTGTTTTTATTTGGTAGTGGTACTGGGGATTGAACTCAGGGTGTTGTTGTCATGGTAAGTGAGTGCTCTACCACTCAGCTACATCTTCAACAGCAGAAATTTCCTGTGCTTTTGAGCAATTGTGTGCCTTGATCTGGAGGACCAAAGCAGCTAGTTTATCACTGGCCAGTACGGAAGGCACTAACCCTATGAGGCTAGTGGACACCTGAAACCTGACCAGTCATGCACTTTTGTGAAAGCATCTTATAAGAAAAGAATGTAAACTTTCTCATGAATATTTAGACTACTAGCTATATGTCAAACAATCCTAACATTTTTGGATATATTCAGTTAAAATGAAATATATTGCTGAAACTAATTTCACATATTAAATTACATGATTACTAAAAATCTAAAATTCTCTATGTATTCCCTGCCATTTTGCAATTGGGGGATTAATCGCATGGGTTACTTGTGGGACTGTACATTGTGACACTCCTGTTTGGTGAGGTGTGTGGACTCTGAATTCCACCCTTTGAGGGAAATAGCAATAGTGTGGGGAGCCCACATTATATTGTGCTTGCCTTACTCCATCTTATCATCTGGCCTGTATCTCCACAACTATGTGACTTTGAATCATCCTGCACATCAAGCACAGAGAGATGATTCTGGTTGGATTTCCACAGCCCTTTGTCAGGGAAACCCTCACTGCCAGAGGAAGGTTTGGTTCCCCAGCCAGGATGCTCGGCTTTGGAGTGAGGCCCTCCTGCTCCACTTGCCAGTTCTTGAGTCTTTTCACAGAAACTCTGGGATTGAAACACTATTTCAGGACAGCTAGAAGACGGTTCCAGCCCATGTGGTGTGCCAGCCACGTGTTATGGAGATCACTGGGTGTGTGGCTGCATGATGGGTACAGGATTGAGGCTGACCTCCCCCAACTTGAG